TTATCTTTACTTATATAATTAAGTCAAAAAATCCGAACCCATTTTTATTTTTTTAAATACTGATAAAATGAAAATATTAATATTTAATATACTATTAAAATAAAATGTAAGATAACTAAATTAAACCACTCATATTTTAAAAGTGGACAATTAAGTCTGATTAGAGGAAATAACTTAGACACATTAAAATAATAGGTAAATGTATTCTAACTCTTTCAAAAATATTAACTTTAATACTCTATTATTTTTATTTTTTGATATTTACAATAAGAATATCATAAGGTCAGCATTTTCATACCTAAAAACTAGTCCCACTAAAGAATCCTGCGGCCCCACATTTTTACCTTGAAGAAAATTAATTGACTTGAATTCTTACTCTGCTGCTTAGATTCTAAACTTACATATAAGACGATATTTATTAATTATTTATTAATAAATCTAATACTTGAGTTATATTCTTGTATGTTTTGTAATACAGCTTAGTGATAATTTTCTCTTTCAATAAATAAGAAGTTTTAATTTGATAGACATGAGAATGTAGTAAGTAAAAAAATGAAAGAAAATTGTGTCACATTAATACATAAAATAAAATTTTGGAAAGAGATATATCAAACACACCAATTTCATAATAGATATATATTAGCATCATAATATTTTTTGCTCCAGAAAATTGGTTTATTATCAAATACCAAGCAATACCTAAATGTCATTGTTGCCTTATTTAGACAAGAAGCCTTAGTCCTCTTTTACTCCAGGCTTCATGGACTTGGATCTCCTGTGCTCAAAAGCATAGATGCTACTGCATTTCCTAGTAGAAAGTGAACATTAGAATCACGACCCCATTGGGTGTTATTTACATAGAGGTCTTCAAATCTACCAAATTCCGATTGCAAAGGCCAAAGCCCACCCTATTCAACCAAAAATAAAAGTTATTTACGTGGTTCTCAAAACCATAGGTTCTTTCAGTACCAGTAAGACCACTGGAAGTCGATGAATTTTCATTAAATTTCGATAGCTAAATGTATCTATATATATGCACCTCACCCTTTGGATCTAGTGATATTAGTCATATTGAAAAAATGTGCACTCCTCCCTCTCCCTTGGCCCTGGGTTTGATCTCGTCTTTTGTTAACATGTTCAAAAAAAAAAAAAAAAAAATTATCAGTATATACGAAGACATTTATCTTGCTTTGATTTTTCTAATGGAAACACCGACTAAAATTTCTATTAATGAACTATTACAGTGAAGATTATTCAAGTTTTCATAAAAGAAGAGGCAGTCTCAAATATAAGCTCACAATATTATAACAGAGGATTTCCAAGGATGGTATTATAAGGATAGAAGTGGCACCAGAGGCACATTGCTCAGTGCCCACTCTCCTTTTGGAGGTAGGTTGTTGACTATACGGGGGAACTCAACACGAGACTCACCCATGCTGCAAAGAATGCTAAACCAATTTCTGAGTTTGCTGCAGCAGTTGTCATTGTTCTTGCAGCGTTGAATTCTTTCTTTGGGAAGAAGGCACTGCTGAAAGATTCGGAAGTGCTACTGCTTTGACTCCGCGGATTGGAGTCATGTGGCGCTGTTGCGACTGTTGAGATTGAATTGGAGCCAGTTGCAAACATAGGAGCTGATATCTTGGCTGGAGTAGATGGTGTGACACGTGCAAGAGGTGGTGTGTAGGAAATAATTATGTTACATAGAATTGAAAACAATCCTCTAGCTTTGAAGTTTATTACTACATGATAGGAATGACATCCACGAGTTACAAACACAGCAGCCTTATTGCAAGCCAATATTTACACACACAGAAATGATCAACATATAAGTGGTATGAATTACAGAAATTCACACAATTTCAGTATCTACTTTATAGAGCTAGAAAATATGTGGCAAGATAGAAGAGAAGTAGCAAAATGGAGCTTTTAAGAAGAGCATCTCTCACCTTCCTTCCCCAATAATGTCACTGAATTCAGTGACATTTAATGGAGAAGGCACCAGCTCTTTCTTTGGATTAAGATTGTTCTTGTTCTTGTTATCACTGTGCTCAGACCCAGTAGATGGTGAGTTTTCAGCCTCCAAGCTGGCTGTTATGTCCTTAAAATCCCAGTCAGTTAAATAACTTGGTTTTGATGCAACAGGGCTCACTTCAATATCCCCAGCAAGCATAGCTACAACCCTTGACATGGGTGGTCGCATCATTGGGGATGCTTGGGTGCACAGGAGTCCCACTCCTATCATTCTTAAAGCTTCATTTTCATCAAACTCCACTAGGGTTGGATCCACCAGACCTAGACTTTGGTTGCTTTCATAGAGAGTCCATGCCTAGAAATATTGCATAAATAAATCTCCCGCACAAGGAATGTGCCTAAAAAGAAGGAAAAAAGAAAAGAATTTCTTTCTTTACCCATTCAAGAAGATAGATCTTGCCATTGTCCTGGCTGTTGTCAGAGTTTAGTCTTCCACTGAGAATTTCCAAAGCAACAACACCAAAGCTAAAGACATCTGCCTTCTCAGTGAGGTGGCCACGCATTGCATACTCTGGTGCCAAATAGCCACTGCCAATATTGCAATTAAGCTATTAAGTTTGCATGTTGAAGGTTTATTGAGATGATTTCTCTATCTATGATACTAAGTATCTGGATCCCATTGATGGTTTGATGCTATGAAACCTAATAACACATACAAGCTACAATATAATGCAAACAAGCAATTAGATACTCTCGATATAGTGATTCAAGGAGCTTACATGGTTCCTGCAACACGAGTGCTGATGTGAGTTTTCTTGTCATCATATAGCTTTGCCAATCCAAAGTCAGATATTTTCGGACAGAGCTCAGCATCAAGCAAAATGTTGCTTGCCTTCACGTCTCTGTGTATGATCCTTGGCCTTGACTCCTCATGAAGATAAACTAGTGCCCTAGCAATTGCCAGGCAGATACTGAAGCGAGTTGGCCAATCAAGATGCAAGTCTTTATTTCCTGCATATGTAAGACAGGAAATGTTGTGGAGAGTGATTAATTTGGTGAAGAAACGAATTAAGAGGCAGACCTGTTTCATTTTCCCACATAAAGGCTAAAAGGGAGCAAATAACTTGTTCAGTCATACCAAAGAGTGCTTGGTCAAGGCTTTTGTTCTCAAGATACTCATAAACAAGGAGGCGTCTGTTTCCTTCGATGCAGCATCCATACAGTTTAACAAGGTTGCGATGTTGCACTGCAGATATGGTAGCAATCTCAGTAACAAATTGATTCTTCCCTTGGTGAGATGCTACAGAAAGCTGCTTCACAGCTACTACCCGCCCATCAGAAAGTTTACCCTATAATGTATTTAAAGTGCTTTATTTAGTAACATTATCATATAAATCTTCTATCTCATTAAAAACAGATTAAGATGGTAAGCCAATAGCTTACCTTGTATACAGGACCAAATCCCCCTTCTCCTAACTTATTAGAGGGACTGAAGTCATCTGTTGCAGCTCTCAACTCAGCATAACTGAAGGTGTTTGGTCTGGGTCCTATTCCAAGAAGCTCTGCAAATTCAAGAGAAGAAGTTGGAATAAAATCTACTAATGAAATAGGAGATAGTTATATAATGTTGAAATTTTACAAGCACTAGTCCTAGGATTCAACATCTTAAATTTAAAGGCCATGGGCCATTGTATAATCTCCCTTTTTTTTTTTTTTTGGGGTCATCCTTTTCACATAATTAATCAGAAAATTGATGAGTAAAAATAAGAGCAGGGTCTATACCAGAAGCCACTGGATATGTCATAATATATGGGAGAACAAAACCATAAATCAACAACTCACAATATTCAAGTTTACTTCCTATATGTAAAATTTGTTCCATTGAGCACTGGGAATACTGGTCCCACATGAATGCATCACCACAAGAGAGCAGAAACATTGTCAAAGAAGTTGGAAGAAAAAAAAAAAAATCAGTTTCTCTATCCATCAAGGGAGATAAATCCTCTTAGCCAACCTTCCAAAAGTACTACCAGAATATCTCTCTTTAAAAACCTATTTGGCCACCCTTGTAATAAAGCAGAAAATAATTATGTTTCAAGATCAGAAAGAGCTTAACCTAGAACTTGTTTTGGGGAACCTAGAACTTCACTCAGCAGCAACGAGGCCAGATCCACCATGGTATATTAACATGAATCAGTTTTACAAATAATATCATAACTAATTAACTACTCCTATTGCACTTTTTAGGACTCTTACCTTCCCCATCATCATCTTTTCTCCTTCTCAAGTAAAAGACTACAAATATCAATATCAAGGAGAAGGTGACAACTCCGACAGGAACTGCAACAGCAACAATCAACCCAGTCCTCTTCTCTTTTGCTGTATATGGGGGAATCCCACTTACAGTTGGTGGGAAATCTGATCAAAAGGTTTTATGCATTAGCAGTGACAAACAAAGATAGATATGACTTTAGATTTTAAACAAAGATTCTTATGTCATCTCATTTCTTACTTGATACCACGCTAATTGCTGAAATGGATGGTCCATAGTAACCTTGATCTGGTATGCAGCAAGTTCCCTTACCAGCCCAGAACAGGTGAATTTCAAGATGGTTCTCTGTCACAGTAGCAGTGAAATTCTTAATGATTGCTCTCTCAACCCCACCTGCCTCTTTTGATATGTCAAAATCCTTCAATACAATGGTTCCCTGGAAACAGTTGATTATGATTAAAATCTGAAAATGTAAAAAATAAGTTTGCAAATTTGTAATTTTAGAAACATATGTTACATTGACGACTTGAATAAAATGATACATAAATGCAGTATGGAGAATGGTTTACAATTCTTATGGGAATTTTACCTGAATATAAATATCAAAAACTCGCCTTCCCAGACTCTTCCAAGTTTGTTTGCTTCGATCATCAAAAGCTGTTTCTGCAAAAAGCAAGTTAATTGTATAAGGCCCATTCTCTAGGCCTAGGCCATAGTATCTGAGTGATCCGGGGGATATCCTTGAAGTCTGATAAAGCTCCGGTGAGTTTGTGTTTCTCACTTGTGCCAAGGTGTACTGCACATAGAGTACATTTTTTCTGTCAGAAAACAAACCCACATTGCTAACTGCCCATTTCTCAGTACTGATTACATTAAACGATGCTATGCCAAGAGAAGAGTTTTCAGCCTCATATTTTTTCCCATCAGCGGTCATCTCTGGGCCACCACACTTGATTGAGAAATTTGCATCTGCCAACATCAGTATTTAAATATGCTTGGCAAGTTACTCAAAAACAATAATTAAAAATCCAACTATAGAAATTCATACCCAGTAGGTTACTGAAGTCGTCATTTTATAACAAATTAAAAACAGCAAGTGAATTTTGACTCCTTTCAAGTTCTAGCAGTACGAAGTTAATGTCTTTTTAAAACTGCCATTGATGCATGCATATTGCAATTGGCCAAGCTCAGAATTATTAATACTAGAGAAGTAGAAATGGATAATTTGCCACTGAGAGTCTAAGAACACTCTAAAATACAATTGTCTATGCCTCTTCACCTCTACTTGAAGTTTCTTTCTGTGATTAGAGTGTAATGCCAAGTATAAGCTATCGCAAGGCAATGCAGTAGATAAACTGTGCTTTGAAAGGAATTGAACACTAGCAAAAGAAGCTTACAGAGTGGAGAGTTCCTGTTGCATGGGAAGCTTCTTTGAAGGCAATGCAATTCTGGTAAAAGACTAAAAATAAATAAAATAGTTATTTTTTATTAGTGTTATAAACTACAAAAGAATGCCTTCCATTGTGGAAAAAATTGCAACCAATTTTCTTATGCCTTTATATTAAGGTGGATAGAAGAGTAAAACTATACTTAAGAACTACAACTCACCTTTTGTTTGAATTGTCAAATATGAAGTTGTTGGCTACTAGATTCCTACATGATACGAAGCAACAACACAAATGAACATCTGTCATTGCAGTTGTAACAATTCAACATTTATGAATTTAAAGTGACACATATTCTTTCTAGAAATGATAAACATAGATGTGCAGTACATTACTATTGTCGTTCTTGATAACCAAAAGGACTTCCAAAGGACTTCTAGTTGAGCATTCAAATTTAGGTAATCAATGCAAATTAGGTACCAAAATGAGAATAAAACTAGGTCACACTGGCTCTAACCAGGATTTAATGGAGATGGTTGGGGTAAATGTTGAACTTTTTTCTTTCATTTGTATTGCATTAATAATCTGATATCAATTAAAAGAAAAATGAGCTCAAGCTACATACAGTTGTAAGTTTGTGTTCACCCATGAGGGAAAGCTTCCAGACAAAAAATTGTAAGATAAATCTCTGCAAGAGAAAATAGTCAAAGAACAATAGCAGAAAGTTAGCAGAAGTTATTGATTCAAACAAAGAGAATGCTCAGAATGGTATGGCTTACATATTCATTAGGTTTTCACTCTTTTGGCTAGGGATGGTACCAGACAGACTATTATTTCCAAGAAACCTGGACGTTGACAGAATATAATACAGTCAATTTTTTCTTTTGATGGTTAATACCATCAGGTTGATGGCATTAAGTTGACCAGAAAAACTACTGATGAAATTGACATAAATCAAGATTTTGAAGCATCTTCTATGACTTTACAAGTATGTAAGAGAATTTATGTTGAACAAAGCACTTGGAATTTGGCCTGTCAAGTTATTGAAACTCAAATCCCTGGTAAAGAAAGAGGAATTAAATTAATATAGGAAACGGAAGCAAATTTCATAGACAACATATTCATCAGGCAAAGTCTGAACATATCTTACAGTTTTTGTAAAGCTTGGAGTTCTCCAATATCAGATGGAATACTACCAGTAATTAATGCATTTCTTAAAATTCTACAGGAAAATAAAGAACGAAGGAAAACAGTAAAGTTTGTTAGTCAATCAACTAATAAAATAAACACAACAAAGACAAAAGAAGATACAGGTTTCTGTACATGATTAAAGAGTTTTTACTTACAAGTCAGTTAAATTCTTTAAATTTCTTATGAAATCAAGAGAAGAGCTCACATTGGATAAACCATTGATACGCCTGCATGATTATGATAAGAATTAAAGAAGCTAGCCATTATACATACTTTCAAAATAATGCACACAGAGAGAGAGTAAATGGTAAGCAAATAATTACTTACAGAGAATTTAGAGAGGTTAATTTAGAAAAACTAGATGGTATAGGACCTTCAAAGGAGTTTCCTTCAAATCTCCTACAGAAATATTTCACAGGCTAATCAAGAAAGAACAAGCTAGATATATCTCACTGTTGAAGAAATGAGGCAAAACTAATTAAAAAAGAATGTCTTTAAAAATTGAATAAGAAGTATTTGTAACTTACAATGATGTAAGCTTTGTCCAGTTGCCAATGAAATCAGGTATCTTGCCTGTGAAAGGATTGTCTGATGCCCACCTACAATCCAAAAGGCTCTCTATTAATGACAGGGTATGAGAAGACAATTTTGAGATGCTCTAGAAACATAAGCAAACATAAATACAGCTGATGATCCCAGGGACTTTCTTACATGGTTTGCATGTTTAGAAGTTTAGCAAATGTTGAGGGAATTTCACCACCAACTCCACTGCTGTCAATGTAACTGCACATTCATAAACCAAAACCGTTTAGTCTCTGGTGATATGCTTCTTACTGCCAAAACTTATTGAGCTACAAAAAACTAGAAGAAAGTTATAGCTCACATTTGTTCTAGTTTGACCAAATTACCAAGTTCAGGTGGGAGCGTTCCAGAGAAATTATTTATACCAAAGGATCTGCATGACAGAATTCAAACAAAATATTTTTATGGAGAAAGAGAAACCACTAAAATTGACATGCAGTTTTATTAGAACCTATCACAAGGATTGCACTTCTCAGCATCAAAATTAAGTGAAAAGATTAAAAATCTTTCAAGAGATTTTGATGGTCTCTCAAGCCTCAAAAAGGAGGAATGTTGTGAGGGTTTAATGTGAAATTTAATCAACATAAAATGCCCTAAGCTTTTCAGAAGAGGCACACAGATTCTGTCTCAATTAGTGCCATGAATCTTCTAATAGCTTGACTACCATATTGCATCACTACTTCATATCAGACATAAAACAGTGTGAGTACCTTAAGACCACTTGGAAACCATTTATGGGAAGATTATATTAAAATCATAAAAAGACTCAAATCACTCAGATTATCTACAAAAGGTAGTTGAAACTTATACCATCTTTCACTTCTGGAATTCATTACCTCAATGTAGATCAGAATTCAGAAGTATTGTTATTTTTGTCAAAGGTCGTTACATCAACCAGTAAGCACGGCCATATCAACAATTAATTTTACATATTAGAGTTGTGGCTGTCTCCCCTTCCTGTTCCATGATTACCCCCCAAACACAAATTCTCTCTAGACTTTCAGATGCTCTCAACATGATATTGATTTAATTTATCATTTTATAAGAAAGGCACTTTCATAATGACCTAGGACCAAACTTGTGCATAATGTAACTTAGAGGCCATATGTGTGTGGTAGAACAGAACCATTTGATGCATTACAATGGCAGATAAAAAGAAAAAAAAAATGATGCATTATGATGACAAAGTAGAATTTCTTCAAGTCTTACAGCATAGTTAGCTCCTTAAGATTTCCAAGCTCCTTAGGAATGGGCCCAGAGAATGCATTGTGGGCAATAGACCTTGACACAAAAAACATCACCCAAAAAATTACTAGTGGCTTCTCAAATAAGAATTAGCAAAATAACACACCAAGTCAATGAGTTTTACCTACAGAATAAGCATGATTACCATAATCAGAAAATAAGTGAGATACATTGATAGTAATCAGTGTAAATGATCGTTTTTAATGCTGGTACATAAAATGAGACACTGAACTAAATACCAAGTCCTTCGCCTCACAGAGTTGAAGATCTTTAGCACTTCAATGATTTAGCTTCATAATCAAGGGTCAATGACTCTTTTTTAGAAAGTAAGCAAATGTAATGAGCAGGTTGATACATGTATTCTTGACAGGAAAGACATTTAACGACTGGAACCAAAAGTCAGAAAAACTAGGCATGGAAATTTCAGAAATTTTGATAAATGCCATCTATTAAAGTAAAGTAAAATGCTTGCATAAGACCACCAGAATCCATGCTTACAACAACATCAATGTAGACATATTCCCAATCCATGACGGCAAGGGACCGGTGAAATAATTTTGATCGATCTTCCTGCATCATCAAACAATATATGAACAATTCAGTACTCTTAAAAACTCTCCAGGAAAATGATAAAATGTTCTTTTCTACGAGCAAAAGAAAAATAAGAAACCATACAGAAAGGTTAAGTATTTGAGAGCCAAAAGCTCCTCCGGTAACACCCCTTGTTTGTTCAGTGCATACACTCTCCTGGGAAAATGAACAAACAGTTACAGTGCAACTCCGCAACCGATCAAAAGTTCGAAACAGAAATAAATGCGTTCGCCGGAGCAGCAAGAGACAGAGTGAGTACAGTCGGGTGATGTGGCAGGTGGTGGCATTGTTGAAGGTGCAATCACATCTGATGGCCGGATTGTTGGAAGGATCTTCGAAAACGGTGTCCTCTTGGCTCAGAGCAGTTCCGGTGCATGGTTCCCCGCTGATATTCCAGGAATTCACCGCTTGTGTGTCCCATTTTTGGAAGATTGAGATCAATGCTCTCGCTGCATTAAAATTCAAGAAACGTCAAAATGTTTCTGGTTTTTTCAGGTTTTAGAAGAAGCTGATGTTTCTAATTTTTTTTTTTTTCCAAAAGCTCTTTTACGCAGGGTAAAGATTCGCATGCATATATAACCAGACAAAAATTAAAGAAAAAAAAATTAAAGTCAAAACGTCCTGCGGCTCTAACATCCACTCGTCCTAATATTTTTAATATCATGTCTCAATTTC